AAAGTTCAAGTACCAAATATATTATTTTCAGAATGGAAAAAGGAGGCTTCAAAGATTGGAATCCTTCTCATGGACAAAAGACCAAAGAATAGGATTGCTTTTCTAGAAGGGAACAGAAGTTGTATCAATACATTTTCCAAGCGGAACAGAAAAAGATCTAGAGATTAGATGCCTCAAGAATCATAGAAATACTGTCATGGATTTTCAGCATTCAACCTCATAAAATCAGTCCTAACCTCTGGGAACTTCGAGTTTCACAGCAACGACCGGATTCAAAAATAAAAGTTATAAAGCCTTGTCAAGGAGTTCAGCCTCTTGGTCACACTTGCGACCATAAAATTTTGTTTACATCCACTTCGAGGAGCTTGAAAGTACCTCAGGCTCAGAGTTTCGATGTCTGTTCTCTTTGTTCAGGTTTCAATGAAAACCGTTTTCGAATCAGTGGTAGTGATCACTGTAGTTTAGTACTAGTTATCACTGTAGTTCATGGTCCCTTTCGGCCACTTTTATAATTTTTGACCTATGAAATTATTCTTCGCGAATCTGCATAAACCAAGCCAAGAAAGCGCTTTAAAAATATCTGGTTTCTAGGCTACTCGAAGATTCTTTGCTTTCTCTTCGCTAATTTGTCTCGACAATCCGACTCCTGACAAGCGCTTGGGCGTAGCTAGCAATTACCCGACGGGATCGGCTCTTATTTGCTATACAATCTCGTCCCATGTGATCGTAAGAACTCGTTTCTGATACTGCAATATATTTTCCTTCATTGAATCACAAGGAAATCATTTAGATCAATACCTTTCTGTTTTTGAGAGAAGAAAATGTAGATGAAAGGTTGAAACATAGCCACTATATTAATCAATCATTGTAGATACTTCTAACTCACTTCTATATTACATTCTAAGTCTGCCAAAACAAGCTGATTAACAGAAAACATTTAGGACGTGCAAGACCTAACAAAAGTAGCTTTTGCATTTCTGAAAAATTTGGTTTTTTGAAATAACACGAATGAACTGTTTTAATTCTTGAGAAATAATTCCCTTGTTTATAATGAGAAAAAGTTCTTGTATTGTAAGAACTTCTCTCATAAGAACTTGTAATAAATATTTTTTCAAGCTGAATTTGTTACGATGGCATAGAATGCATTACGGTCTTCTAACATGCTCTATTATAGAATAAATTGCTCTAATCACCCAAAAAAATGATGTCGATGTTCTTATACTGGCAAATTCAATGTAATACCTCCTAATCTCCCATCCACCTTTAATAGAATAGAAAGAATGTAAATATTGACATTAAGAATATCAGTTCTGTTGACATAAACGAAAGATATCTGGAATCTCAAGCGGATTGCACTTATCTTCACCTGAACTGTGAAGATGAGTTTTCTTTTCGTCTCGTCAAATTTCGAAGATTTTCGCTGTTATGTACCGCTTAAAATTCCACGTGTCTTTATTTTGCTTCTTTTTTTTGAGTTTGATAACTTTTCAATGTACTATTTGTAGAGAAAATTATGGCTTGAGCTATCGGTGGAATAGAATTCCTTTCTAGACATGGTAATGATGACAATCTTGGTGGGAATTACTGATTTTAGGCATGGAATGATAATTGCTGCCAAAAATTCGGGACAATCCCGTTATTTCTTTAAGACAAATGTGGGAGGTATTTTGAGATCGAATCTTAAAAAATAACCTGCATCAATCGTTTTCTTTTAAACCAAGCCTCCGCAAAACAAAATCTTCGTCACCTAATGACGTTTCTATTTTTCCCTTATTTAGGCGTCAATTTGCTCATTTTGTATTCCCCAGACATCCTTTACTGCTGTCCCTACGCATTTGATTTCAAATGTATCATCACTGAGATCTGCGATTTTATGCGAAGTTTCGGATTTCCTCACGATATCCTCAGACTGATGCTGATTGTGACGTTATAGCGATTCTATGAGGCCTTAGGAATGGGGAGAGAGGGACAAGAAGTTTATGGGCAGCAGATGGTGACATTTTCCTACTGGACTGATCCCTTACAATCTGATATAGTTTTTAGTGACGCAAGAGAATTGAATAAAAATGAGAAGCGCTTTTTGACCTCAACTTCTGAATAAAACTATAGAGGCTTTGGCTCCGCCCATTGCCACGCCCTCTTTCGTCAGTTGCTTTTCTCGAGACCTCTCGCATTGCTAGTCGCTAATGCTATGATATTCTTCTTATCCGGTCAAAGTTTACGAGAGATAAGGTCGAAAGTGAAAGAACAGCCTTAGAGTTTTTTTTAATTTGCATTTAATTTATCAATTTTTTTACCATTCGAATTTTTTTATCCTAAACTATCTTCTATGTATAGTCCAGTAGCTCTGAGTAGTAGTATAGTGCCATCGCGTATCGAACAACATGCGCGCGTAAAAAATAGCTATGGTGCGCAAGACTTGCAAATTTGCGCCCAGGGCCATTTTTCATGCGCAAGGTTGTCATAAGCATGTGGTACCACCATCAAATCTGAGAAATACTTGCTAATGAATCTCTGTATTCATGAATGCGTAAAAATAGTAAAACCTACCTAATGGCGATTCTGGTCGTGGGGCGCATGATCTCAAATTTTATGCTCTATGGCCATCTTTTACGTGCCAGTTTTGTCGGCACCGCAAAGACAGATCCCATCTCAACAGTTCTACTATTAGATAGAAGATACAATAAAATAATAATGCAAGGCAAGATAATAGAGGACACATTTATACTAACTCACCATGCCCACAAACCTGAAAATTTTTCTTCATCCTGTTCTTCTCTCGTCCCCCCTCCCCCCGCCCCTTCCCCTTCTCACCCCGTTGCCGGGAAGAAAACGTGTTAACCAGTGATGTTGAAGTATATTTGTTCAGCGCTCGCATTCCGACTTCGACGATCTTTGTGCGTTTTTTTCCTGGCGGGGCCTGCGCTTGGCGCCATCGTGCCCGACGCTGTGACCGCACATAAATTGTCGGCAATTCAAAACACGTGATTTTTCAGAATGAGCTCAGTAGTGGAGAGGGCGGGGGCGGAGGGGGGGGGGGGCGTCTAGGGCCCTGCTCGCATTCTGTGCTCGTACTAATCCGTCTCTCCATATTTAGTCTTTGCCGTTCTCACATAAAAGTATGGGACTCGGTATTGTTTTCGCGCATACGATTCATGCAAATTGACTACCGTAACCTTTACATTGTTTTCTGAAATTTTCTCACATTTTACTGCATTTTTTGGTGGTATTCCCTATGTTATCGTTTCCTAGACTCTTTTTCTCATAGCATTATGTGACATCAGCGACAGCTAACATCTGTAAGCGATTTATTTTTTTTTTGTCTTCGATGATCGCCATCTGTCAAACGGTAGCAGATAGATAAACTAGGATTATTTCTTAATTTCGCGGTTAGGAAACATTTTCGGTTTTTTGCTTCATCAAATTTATTTAGTCACAAAGTGAAATTTTGGTGATGAAAAGGCTTTGAGAGTAGCAAAATAAAGAGGAATACGATCTCCTTAAATTATACGATCAGAATGGTAAACCGCATGCATAGGTTATAGGAAGAAAGTGTTAGATCTGAGAAGACGAGGAGGGTCAGGGTAAGCTAGACCCAATGTTATATAGTTTCAATTTATTCTTTGATAATGTAAAAACAACAGCTCCAAAGAGTTGTTTCTTTTTACCATTTTCCATTATTTCCCTTCCATTTTCTTACTCTCCATAGAAGTCATCCAAAGTCTTCAGCAGAATTTTCGCAGAAAATTGATTCACCTTTTGCAAACAAGCTTTCGCTGTCTTTGGGTCGTTATCATACAAATCTCCTCTCCCCCCCCCCCCCATGACTTTCCATCAATCCTTTACTGATATCTAAACATAAGCATTCTCATGCAAAGATCCACTCCATGTTGATGCCGTAAAACCCGTGCTATATACCGCGGAGGGGGGGGGGCGAGGGGGAGAAGTGGAAAAGGGGAGTGGCTTGCACGGTTGTTCTGGTTTGTGTGAACAGTGTTAGGGGAATGTGATACGGTTGTTCGGATAGGGTTAATCACTGCTTTTGTTTTTTAGCAGCTTATTCATTCATTTATTGTACACTTTATAAATAACTTAAACATCAAAATATATTTATTTAACCATTATTTGTTAGACCTTCACTTCCTTCCATCGTGTCACATTTAATGTAAATCATTTATATTCTAGCTGTTATGCAGAGCGAAAAATCCTCTAATTACTACTCAATTATTGACTCATTCCTTCCTATATATTGTTCCCATATATTAGTTCCTAATTCGACCGAACTAAAAATTTATATTCATAGTTATCTGTGATTGGCGAGATTTCGTATATATTGCTTGTTTATGGATGTTATCGTTTACTCCAAACTTTGAATTTTTTCAGATTTTATCCATTCACTAGCTAATTTATTGGTCATCTACAAAAACCATTCACAGTTTTCCCTGGGGACAATTTTTTTCACTTTCAAAAAAAATACAATAGTAAAATCGTGTTAAAAAATAATAGTTATTCGACTTTGCATCTGTTCATCCTAGAACTTCTTTGGTTTGATTTATTTGTTTTCAAATTTTTGATAAGTGTTTCTTGTTTTTCCTTGTTTTCTTTCTCCCATCGTACAGTGAACTGAAAATTTGGTCAGAAGTGGATTTTACTTTGCATTCGATCACCCCGTACGTTTTTCCTGAAAATTCTGCTGTCATTTAATTTTTCTTATTCATAGATTATACTTCCGATTCACAGAAATGTTACATTCCCTCAATCTGTCATTTGATGCAACTAAGTGATTACCGGAAGAACAACTCGAAAACATGTTGATGGATGTGTCGCACCTCCGCATTCGTTTTGTTTTTCCATTAGTCTGATGAAGTTATTCTTAATCTGTCAAATATTTCAAGAATTCTATTGCATGACACTCCCACTCATCATTTGCTCCTTTTTTTATCCGTGAAGTGTGAATTCCACGCCTTTATTCGCTTGCCATTTCATTTTAAAGGCTCGAAATGTTTCCTTTTTAGATAATGTTAAGCGACAAGCTAAGAAGAATATTCGCTAAATTGAATGTCGAAAAAGACATGAAAATTCAGTCCGTATCGAAGAAAAAACTTCAGACGAAGAAAAAACCCGCGGTCGAGCTGCCTGACAATGTTTGGTAAGTTTACCTTTGATCTCTTTTTTTCTCAGCCAATCCTCGTGCGATGTCTATGTAAGCCCAGCTCTCTCTCTAGGGAGCTCATACATCAGCTGACATCTCGAAACACTTGAAAGTTGAAAAGATGCTCCGTTTTCGTTTGCTCGAAGTAAATAAGTCTCAAGAGTAAAACGAAGAAGCTCTCGATCTTTGGACAATGATCAAGGGAACTTTCGTGTTGTTTGAATGCTAAGCAAAAATCCAGGCGCTAGATTTAGACTATAGAATGAGAGGATGCCGGGTAATGTTAGGAACTTTATTTGAGGAAGAACCAAAGCTCTGGTCCCTTTTAGCCGACCAGTAGTTACCTCTAGTTATCGGTGTCCCCGAGGTGCTCAGTTTATGTAGCTGTCTTGGAACAGCGAGTACATGTCCACAACCACTAAATCGAAATCGATCTCGTATATGGTTACGGTAACGATCATCCCAGCCTAGCCGCTTTCCTCCTATAGTTCTCTTTTGACAGTAAGTTTCAGCGCGAAACACGTCAAAATCAAAATTATATTAGGTTTTCCGGAAAATAATGTCGAAGGACATCCTACGTATTTGATTTTCCGGAAAATAATGTCGCATGGCATCCTACCGCGGCAGAATGACCACAAAAAACAGCGACGGGTATCATTTGATAGAGCAAAGTAAGCTCTACGCTAGTTTACAAATCTCTGCGGAAATCTTGCTCCACCTGAAGTTTGAATCCCAAATATAAAAAATTTCAGTTCTCGAAAAATCGTATCTCCGTTCACAGACGTCTTAGGAATCGCCAAATTGCACAGACATGTACTCTTCACACTAGACATTCTGTATATTTTGTGTTATTTTTCCATGGCTACAGTACCACAAACAAAAATAGGTCAAAAGTGCGAATATGTCGAGTTTTTCGGGTTTTTTGCGAACAAATTGATTTTTCTCGTAAACTAACGCTTATCCAAAGCTGAAAATTCATTGTTATACTCCCAAAGATTCATACCACAGAAATACCCATGTGAGAGACTCAGAATTGTTTTGGCGAAAATATGCCGAATTTTGTTTTCTCAATTTTCAGCCATGGAAAAACCGCGAAAATGTGCATACGAATGTCTCATCTAGTGAGCTCATGCCTGAGCAAGTTAGGGGTTCCCAGGACTTTTCTGAACGGAGAGACGATTTTCTTCGTTTTTTAGGTCTTTAGCGCCTTATGAAAATTCGCTCCAAACTTCAAGCGGATCAAACCCCGCGCGAAGGTTCGAGATTTATCTTGTAGAGCTTGCTCTGATCTATCGGTTGATACCCCACTCACTTACTTTCGTGAGCACCCTGCGCGATATTGCATGATAAAACCGATGACATTCCGGACAACTATATATAAAAAACCATCATTGAATTTGCATATAATGAGTCACTAGTCTACCGTATTGAGTTTCCTTCCGGGAAGCTCATCTTTGACCATTTATCTCGTTCTAGGATGTAAAACGTGGAAAACCAAGTAAACGGTCCATATGGGTGCTTCTTCTGATATTGCTTTCTTGAAACAGTTATTTTCATTTTGACGCCACAAAGTCAAAACCTTACTAAAATTTATTCTAAATGTGCACGTACCGCGTCATTAATGTACCGTAACCATTTTCATTTCAGGAACCTCATCTTGGACTATTCGTCACCGTTTGATGTGATAAAATGGCGACGAGTCAATAAGCAATTTAAACGCATTACCGATAATCGTGTGAAAAGGACGCTCTACCTAGATGTGTTGAGAATGGATATCACACAAATTTTGCCACAAGGAGTGATGGGAGACGGTGGGTTACCTTGCCTAATCAAAAAAAATTTTGTTATAATATAAGCGAGATCCATGTTGTTTGAACTTATATTTTGAATTTAAAAATCCGGGGATAGGCAGCATGTGATAGGCCGACTTTAGTAGTTGTTGTTGAAGCACGTGTCAAAGTATGTTCCACTCCAAAAATAGCTATTTCATAGGAAAAATCCTTGAAATCGTGTAATCCGCTTTGCCGCCATCCTCGACTAAAAATCGTCAAATCGCTTCAAAAAAATAATCATATTTACCAAGTACTCCTCGTGCTGCCTAAGCGGATTCCCTCAACGCGCCCAGTATTTGATCCCCGCTAACTTCGCCTACCTTTTTTTGCAAAGATGGGATGGGAGGGGTGGGAGGGGAGCGTTCTGCAGTGTCAAAAGCTACGAAAACGGCATATAAGTTGTTTTTATCATGTCATAAAAAGCTTGCGTAATCTCTTATCATACCTATAAGCCATCATTGAGGTTTTTTCAGAGAGATTTGGTAGTGAGAAAGACTCATTGATAAGGAAGTTCAAGATGGAATGTCAGTTCTTTGATATACTCGCTACTTATAATATTTAAACGGAACCACATTACAAAAACGAACTGAAAGTGAGTAGATGACAGGGTGTGTCACACCAAACGTACCACTTTTTACCAATTACCAATTACCGACGTACCAATTCCCATTCTTAATGTTATGATTGCTTACTGGTACTGTATTGTACAGCATAAGTAAATCTGAATGTTCCAGCTGGTTCAGAGGGGTCGGGGAGGATGGGAGAACGGTGTAGGTATAGAGAACATGTCTTAGGACTTGAATTTTTTATATTGAAATCGCCGTTTCTGGAATCATAGATTTCAAAGTTTTGTAATTTACGGCGAACTTGGAAGCAGAGCAGAAGAAACATGAAAATCTAGCCAACTTCAAATTACGCAATCAGTCGAAACTTTTGAAATCGCCAGTGTGCTGCTGAAAATAATTTGAAGGTTCATATACATATTTGCGACTTATCGAAGTTGTAAATACCCCTTGGCTCAAAAACCGAGAGATTAACGTCACTCGACTTTGCCAATCATTTGCATACTGTAGTCTCCTTACTGTGTTGTGTGATCTACAGTAAGCTAATTGCGCTGCAGCACACATGGTTGTTGCTCGTGTAATCTCCTTTTCCAGAAATGCGAAAATAGGATTTTTGAAAAAAAAAGGCAGTACGAAATTGTGACTTTAAGGCTACAGTAATTCTAATCACATGGGCATACCATCCATATTGCTGAACATAAATTTTTCGAAGTGATTAAGTATCTACCCTGAATCGACGGACTGTTACTGATTGCATTCCTGATTTCTCATGACATTTACTGCAATTTTGCTGTTTACTTCCATGAATTGTTACGTTCTTCTCAATGTTTCAATTGGATTGATCTTCACTGTCACTTTTTGTCACTGGAAATCAAGGAAGTGAGAAAAACTCTGTCTCGGACATACAGAACATGTTCTTGAATGTGTGTCTGTTTGAGAAATCGCTATAGCTGTTATAGGAAAATGCTATTTTTGACTTCTAAGAGATTTATTGATTTGAACAAGACGTAGAAGTTTTGTGAAACTTTCTTTGAAAAACGAGTACTGTTCTTTTGGATAAGGTCCTAATTCGGAGTTCCGGAAAACTTTTCTGAAGACTTTTCATCTCACAACAACTTCCATAAGTATCGGCTTATTTGAAGCACGACACTGAAATGGGCATAACCTTAAGTGAGAATAAAAATTTTTTGTTGTTTTTGCGTCTCCTACGGTAAAAGCATTCTTATGTGATAAAGTTCAACATCATCTTCCTTCTCTTTTATAAGTTTGAGTACAGTTGGGGATAAATTACTCAATTTTCAGTAAACTACGAAAACTGCTTCGATAAAATATCCATGCGGAACTATTCACACGCTCATCAATTACTCGTTAAACTTTGACAGTTTTTCCTAATCATTAATCATATTCCATGGCAATTATAACCAGTTCGTGATTCGGCTGTCGGGACAAATTTGCACAAATTTTTTGAACTGAAGGCTTTCAGGGGACCGTGCATTCGGTTATGTTAACTAATCACCGGTGGTCCCAGAATTTCCATTCGGGAACAGAGAGGCGCGACAAAAAGTTTTTTCGAATGGAGGTATGGTGTTAGCCATACAATCCAAAAAAATTTTGGAGTGCTCCTCAAATTTTCGCGGACCTTCGAAATCCTAAAAGCAAGGAACGTGGCGGACGCAGACTTTGAAGAAATTCTAAGATCATTTTAATTACTTAAGTAAAGTATAAGGAATTCATTTGCACATTTTTATAACTCACGTAAGCAACTTTCAAAACTTTCGAGCTGTCTTCTTGGGGGGGGGGGGGGAAGGGGAGCCCCCTACCTCTTTTCCTCAGTCCGCCGTTGGTGATCACATGTCCGAACCACCTAGCTGCTCCACTTTGGAGTGCTGGATTTTGGCACACTGGGATGTTTGGAGAGAGGCGGGAGACATTACTAAGGAACACGATCTAGCCTTCTTTTACAATATCGGATGTAAATTCTTGACTAGAAGTGTTTGAAAACTGGTGTTGAAACGAAAAAATACCAAATCAAGTTACTTTACATGCGACGCCAAAACCTGAACATAAAGAATTTCGAACCGCAGTATCAAACGAAATTTATATGTACAGAGACTACCGCACAAAGACTGCCTGCAGTTTTTTGACCGGAAGTTACGAAGGACTTCCTTTATTGCCGAAACTTCCAGGAAATCTCCTTGCTTAATAAAATTCGTGCGTCGCTTATGATCTCGCTTGTTTTGCGAGAAAATAATATGAAAAATGATATTTTAACACTATTTTTTGTTTTTCAACATTCCTTCTTGCAGGTGACTTCTTCCGACATTCCACCTGCAATTTACTAGCGCATCACGAACATCGTTCTATTCTACTTGCCGCTCATGCACAGTGGACAACAAAGGAAGCGGCAAAATTACTGCGTGCAATTCAATTTTTTGCCAAAAACGCCCACACCATAATGGTAAGCAAACTTAATACAACCTTTTGCGGTCAATAATCAATTTTTTTGCAGCTCGATTCGTCGGTAGCTGAACTTTGTGTGGCAGGACAATGTACAACAGATATATCAGCTTGGTTTGCATTCCAAGCCGCTGCCGGTGGTACCGATCCGACACCGGAGTCCGATGGGATTCAGGTTCGTTGAAGTCTGAGTGAATTTGAATTCGTCCAAAAGTGATGGTATACATGTCCCTTGTTTCCAGACCCCAGGATGGCTTCAAAGTGAAGCAAAATTCAATATGTCCACATATCTTAGCCAGTCTGATGGAGATTTACCTAAATGGAACCCGACAACGCAACGTATCCCATTGGGACCACTATTTCCAAAGGCCAAAGAGGTAAAGAAACTTTTCAGTATGCTTAGAAATAACCTATGTTGCAAAAATGCTCGGACATAAGCTTGGTGGTCAAAAGTGCAGCGGGAGGATTCCTTCTTTTAGCCTTTTTTCATTCCTTGCAAAACGATCTATTTCGTCTATCTCTGGGCCTATATTTGACTCAAAATCTGCAACTGACCTTATAAACGCAATGATTTGGCGAGTAATTTTCGTACAATCTGAAGAAAATTTAGAATAATTTCAATTTTCATAGAATGTTGCAAACGACGAGGAGCAAATCTTGCAAAATATGTGCTAAGCAAATCGCTTTTTTAACGCGTAGTTTGGTCACGTGACGATTCCGAAATTCGCCTATAAGTATCACGTCGTCCGAATCGTCTTTTTACAATTTGCCGATTTTTTTGTAAAAATTACATAATTATCAACTGACAAAAATGGGGTAAAACCATAGGTCAGAGGTTCATAGTCAAAATAATGTCGCATTTTGCAGATCACATTCCGCTGCACTGTTCCGCAGTTACGTCGTATGCGTCGGCTATCCGTCTATCAAGTGCCCGCCACAATGATTTTTTCACCAGAACAGTTGCAAGTATTCCGTCTGTCCATAATTGGTGGACGTTCCAATGCTCCAGCTAATTTGAAACTACGTCCATTTCGTGAATGGCTTGATGCTGACCAACTCGGCAACAAGCTCTGCATACAGTTCTGCTGAGGCTGTCCAACTGAGGACGGAGTCTTAGGTCTTCGTCCTGACATCATACTTCCTCATGTTTTGCTCACACTTTTATGAATGCTTGTAAATTACTATTCTTTTTTTATGCACCTATCTGTATATATTTGTATAATAATTAGCGAAGTGCTACGTCTTCAAATCACTTGGTTCTGCTTAGAATTTGATTTATACACTTTTCAGCCTTTTGGCTAAATCTATGAAAGTATGCTGTTTATTGATATTTCATAGTAAGTACGTATTCCATCCGTCTAACCGATCTCCATGGTCACTGTATCACCAATGTGTAGCAGCTTAACACGCATTTCTTCTTCATTTAGCTTTTATACAGTAACCTCTTTCGCACTTATCGTAAGTCGTAAGTTACCATGACCCTTGAACTAGGATATCATTTCGCAATGCTGGTACGCGAGGCTTTTGTAAAATCTATCGGGGAAAGTCCTTTTCGCACATCGCATTGCAAACGCAGTCGCTTGCGGCTCCACTCGGCGCAGGCTTTACGATAGCATACAGTGGTGTGCGAGAGGACCGCCGTTCTGCGCTTTAAGACAGTAAGTTAATTTCTCTGATCCTAGTGGTACACCTTAGAGATCTTTCCACACCTCAGTCTCGTTTATTTGCACACGAATCCACACTGTCATAGCGTTGATCTTTGACCACCTCGTAATCAAAGGTGCCGCTCTTAGAATAATCTATTTTCTTGATTTCTCTCTTAAATACACCAACGGATAGGGCGTTTTCGGGTACGGTACAGCACATCTTTCATCGATTCCACTCTGTGCACTTTTTCACTTCGCCTGTGATATGTACATCAGTCGGAAATAAATGGTATTGAACTCGATTTGCTTGTAAGTATAGCATGGGAATCAAGTACCTTGTGGCGCCTTCATCGGTCCGGTACTTACCTGCATGCGCTCGCCTTGAGTCCTATGTTAGTACCTTGTCTTTTAACAGATGTTACGCTCTGCATCTGCAACGCAAGAGGAAATATTAGAGCACGAGATGCAAAGCAGTCGGAAATGTGGAATCAAACGCGCTTCAGGGCAAGCATGTAAGGATAACGAGCAAAAACGTTCAGTCATAGCGAGATTAGCGCTCATAATGAGCTCATTGAAAGAATCTATGATTGTACCTGCTCAGCTGCCCAGAGTAACAAACTAAGCCTTTATTCTATTGAGAGGAAATTGTCCGGTAACGCGTAACTGTCTTGACATAAGTAGAGGGACATAATTGCATAGGTATAAAGGACGTTAAAGGCAGCGTACAGCGTAAAATTTTGCCTTCGATGTTTTTGTTATTCTGGGGCCTTTCCGTGCCCCTGATTACAATTATGACATTGAAATTCTCCAACCCCTTCCAAAAACACCTATTTTCGGGGACCCTCTCTTCATAGAGAGGATGAGTCGCATTGCTTGACCCCGTCGGCATGCCAGCGGGGAGCAGGTGCAACTGCATGACAGCTTGCGCTGTCTTGGATTCGTCCAAAGAAGGCGGACCGCAGCGAAAGGGGAGGAGCGCAAAAAGAATCGGGCGGGTGTGGTTTTCTCCATTTAGAAGCAGCATTGGGAGACCGAACCAACGCAGTTAGTCTTATTCCTTTTTCTGTCCCCCTCCCCTCCCCTATATACACCGTGTTGAGAACTGGGTTATTTAGATTTCGGAATGTACGCTGCCTTTAAGGGTTGTGAATAATGAGATTATAGTACGAGGTACGTGAAAATTGAGAGAATGCATGAGTTTACGTGAGTTCAAACGATAAGGGATGGATGATTTGCCTGGTGGAATAATATTCACGGCTATCTCACAAGCAGAGCCCATTCTTTCGCGGAATATTTCCACTCTCACCACTTTTCCCGTTGACTACACTTTCTGAATGTAATAATTGCCTCGTTACTGGAGGTTAGATTTTATCGGTAGATAGTAGTCGCGCCAGTAGTGTGTGGTTTCAAGTTTTGTATTAGGCTATTGCAAAAATAATGTCCGTTTTTCTAGACCTATATTCCAAACAACTTTTTTCCCATCAGACTTTCTTTTTCGATTTAGCATCTGCATATATTTGGAAAGCTCTCTTCATATACTTTCTCATGGCGGTGAAATTAAGCTGCTATCCTCACTTGTGAGAACTTCACCAGCATCCACATCCGCACTCAAAATCAGGATCTCATAGCTTCCACTTTCTTGACTACAATTCAGGAGCAAATAAACAAATTCTTCTGAAAACATAGCAGGTGTATTGAATGAAGATTGTTTACCTACTGCGTGCTTATGCAGATTTTTGGAGAAATGTGGACTGAGAAATTGACACGTCAAAATAGACACTCGTTGCTGCATTCTATGGGTCAGAAATTTCTCATAATTAAGGCAATCGCCAAAGCTTCGCCCATTTCTGTAAGCTTGAGATAAGCACATCTTAACTACAATATCTGAAGAGAAACTTAGCTATTCAGTGCGCGAAGAATTCCAATTTTTATAATTAGGCACTTACAAGCCTACAACAAATAGGCTCAAAAGAGTGAACATTTTTGAATTTTTATCTTTTCTTTTCGCAGGACTCCTTCGTTGGAGTTTTTTCTATACACACCTATACTATTGGCCTGCGGGTACAAAATAAGCTAATTAGCAGAAATAGGGACAAAGCTTGAAGAGAGTTGTAAGCTCTTGAAAGACGAGGTTTTCAAGAGAAAAACTTTTAGTTTTCTGACGCATGGTTTTCTTCCCGTTTGTGATATCAGTATGGGCAGGGGCTCTGCAACTTTTTCCGATGGTTTATAATCCTGCAATAGGCTACCTCTCTTGCTAAATTCTTACTTTTTCTAGAATGGGACGGATTTATGTGCAAAAAGAGGGAAGTGGGGTAAAGGAAAGAGGGCATAATATTGAGTTGTAACATAAGTCTTGAAACACTTTAACTTCTTACTGCGATAAGTCATGCACCTCATATTCCTGACAAGGCTCCCGAATACCATTCGGTAAAGCAAAGCAAGCCCTACAAGATGGTCTGCAAACGTTTGCCCCAACATCGACTTACATTAATTTTGCATCCAAAATGTGAGTCGCAATGAAGACTCAGGAAAACCCTTCATATCCTCGTTCGGAAAAATCCTGCAAATATCCAACTTGCTCACAAAAATTGCACACTACATCAGGGCCGGTAGTAATCCCCCCGACCTGGCGGCAGGTCTCGTCGGCAGGTCGCTGGCACCTTTTTTCTGAGGTGGCCAGAAAGTGAGACCCCAAATTTAGGCCGTCTCAGGCCTTTTTCCAAAAAATTCTCTCGATAAAGATGCCGCCTCGACTCTGTAGAAAATTCCATAAAAGTCTGCGGACCCCGAACTTCTTCTGTAAAAAAATATCTGGAAGCACAGGAGGAGCTGCCAGCAACTTCGCGATGTCAGTTGCCGGCAACCTGCCGGCAGCTCGTCGAAATCCGCGAGATGGCAGCTGCCGGCAGGTCAGAGAGCACGGGAAATAGCGTGCTCTTTTGAGAGAGGGAGCTGCCGGCATCTCGACGTGCCCCTACCACGTCGAGGTGGTGGCACCTTTGCCGACGGCGTCTGCGAGTTTGCGAATTGCGGCGGTATCACACAATTTATTCACACGAAAAAATCAAAAATTCTACTTTTCATCAAAAAACTGTCATTTTTTTCATTGTATGAGTTTTTCTTTTTTAAAACGACGATTTTCTTACAGAGAAAAAGTCCAGTAATGCCCTAGAATCATAAAGAACACCATCTTTTTTGGCAATCCCTTATAAATCTCGTTTGCACCGATTTCGCCCCTCTCTCGCTCATATCAATCAGCTGTTCTTTCAGGTCAAAGTCTCTCACGCAATGTATCGATTCCTCTTACAGGCAGCCATTTACCAGCGCGTTCCTCCTATTGCTGGTGCAAACGGCAATGGCTGACCGAATGGTCGAATGGTTAACGTGGTGGCCCTTCAAGTTAAAGCACGTAGGTTCGACCGCCCGCGAGGTAGCAATTTTGCGGCTCTCGGCGTCATCAAAATTTAATGTGCGAAATGATTGCGTGCTAAGGTTACATAAGATTATTAAAACCTACAATCGCTCCGCGAGCTGCCGGCGGAGTTGGCATCTTTCCGCGATGTGTGCCAACTTGCCGGCATCTATGATGCCACCAGGTAGGGTAGATTACTACCGGCCCAGACACTCAATGTACCGTTTCTAAATTTTTTGTCCATTTACAAATTGAAAAAACAAGAGTTTTTGAGTTTTTACAAAAACGAAGCTAAGGGTGCCTTCATACCGTGCTGGCAGCCGTCGCTAGCAGCCCGTAGCAGCCCACAGCAGCCGCCAGCAGCCCGTAGCCGCCGCTGGCCCTTTTGTCATAGAAGCGCAACATCATCAAATTCTTACTATTTCAAGTGCAATCGACCACGCTTTCCGTCTTCCGCGCTTTTTTCTTTCTGTTGTCGCATTTGATCTCAATATGATATTTGCGTCCATTATTGTTATTATACTGTTGCCGTAGTTGGTTATCCCATTGGTGCTCAGTTTCCCTCTAATAGCTGAATATTCCGACTTTGGATACGTTAAATTTCTGCAGTGTTTATTTTAATGCGTGTTTCTGCTTCAATCATATCCTTAACCCGTGCTTATCTTGAAGATCTCTGTAATGGTGAAAGTGGAACTGCACATTAGCCGCAAGAGAAGAAAGAAGCATGAGAGATGGAAAGCGTGGCGGGCGCATTCAAAGTGGTAAGAATTTGATGATTTTGGCTTCTATGACAAAAGCGGCCAGCGGCGACTACGGGCAGCTGGCGGCGGCTGTCGGCGCGGTTTGAAGACACCCTAAGCTGTTTTCACTTATGTAGTTGTGTACTGCAATCCATTACAAGTATAACCATAAATTTTCAGCTCTTCAAAACCTTAGTTTTCGAGAAATATTGATTTTAAATCTCTTTTCACTCGGTTTCATGCTAAAATCAATATTTCTCGAAAACTAGGGCTTGTGCAACGCTGAAAATTTACGGTTACACCTTTAAAAGGTTGTAGTATACAGTTCCATACGTGAAAACAGCTTAGCTTCGTTTTTGTGAAAATTTGAAAATTTTCGTTTTCTCGCTTGTAAATGAGGAAATAATTCTGAAACGGTACATATGAGTGTGATGATATGTGCAATTGTCTGATGTAGTGTGCAATTTTCGTGAGCAAGTTGGAGATTGGTAGGATTTTTCTGAACAAGGATATTTTTTCGCGATTTTCTGAGCCTTCATTACGACACACATTTTGGATGCAAACTTGAAATGGGTCGAAGTGGGGGCAAACTTTTGCAGACCATCTTTTAGGGCTTGCTTTGCTCTACTGGACCCCTATCAAAAATTTGAACTGCATGACTTATCGCCGTAAGAATTCAAAGTGTCTCAATACTTATGTTACAACTTAACAATTTTGTT